AACAGTAACTGATTGGGATGCTACAGAATTGGAAAGTGAAGGTATGTTTTCCATTTTTTAATTAATTTTGATTTATAATTTATAATTTTATATTAATTTATAATTTATAATTTTTTGAATATATGTATTACATATGTATGTATTACAATATAATAATTTATATTATTTTTATAGAATGGCAGAACACAGTTGATGATATTAGTACATCTGATTACGTTCGATTTGAAAAATATGATGAATTAATGAATGAAAACGAGAGATTGAAGAAAGAAATTTCTGTTTTAAAAAGTTCTGCATTAACTCGTGACCTACAAATACGTCAAGAAATGGCTGATACTTATACATCTATGATGAAAAAACTTGAAATAGAATGGAAGTATGTATTAAATTTGTTTTGTTTTTTATAAAACTTTTTATTTAAATATAATGATATGTAATTTAGGAATCATATAAAAGATGTAGAACAACAACAAGAAGATGTACTTCAATGGTCTGTAAAACAAGTTGAAGAGTTTTATAAACAAAAGTTGGATCAACTTAGTTGTCGCAAGAGAAGACGTTCATCTCTTAGTGATAATAATTCAGATGATTATTCAAGAAATATTGAAGAATTAGAGATAAAAAACTCACATTTAAAATCAAAAGTTGTTTCTTTAAAGATTGATATGAAAGAACTTAAAGAAACAAATCAAACTCTAATGGTTGAAAAAAATAACGCAACATTTGAACTCGCTTTAACAAAAGAAGATCTAAAAAATATAAAAAATTTACTAAATGCAGCTCAGCAAGATATTTGTTCCGATGAAGACACAAATTATTACATAGAGGAATTAAAATCTCAATTATTTGCAAAACAAGAACAAGTTAAAGTATTTATAATAATTATTATAAGAAATAATATATTTATAATTTACATGATATATATCTTTTTTATTATATAATTATATTATTTCAGAAACTTAAAGTATTTTTAAATGAAGCAAAAGAAGATTATATTTCTATCACTACTGAAATGAGAGAAAAAGAATATGAAATTAAAGAGCAAAAAGAGGAATTATTTGAGAAACAAGAAACAATAGATGACTTAGAAGCAAATCTTACACATATTAATATGTGTTTGTCAGAAAAAATCAAAATAATTGAACAATTGGAAGAAAAATTGGATAATCAAAATAAAAAAATACTGGATTATGAAAATAAAATGCAAGAACAAATAAATAAATTGGAAAATGAAAAATTATTGTTTTTCGATGAATTTGAATTATTGAAAAAAACAATTGATATTACAAAGAATAAGAAACAAAATTTAGAATGTGAAAGTGATGTATGTTATTAATTAATTAATAACTATTTTAAATATGTAAAACTACTTTTCTCATTTAAATCTAATTTAAATCTTTATGTTATAGGATTATAAAAAATCTTTTGAATGTTTAATAGATAAAGATCAAGATATTGCTATAAAAGAAGTATCTTCTGATCTTAATGTAGAAAGAGTTGTAGATTCAAATCAAAATAATAAAAATACACAGACAGGTATGTACATAATTTTTAATTAAAAATTTTTAATATTGATTTAAAATTATGATATTAACTTGATATTATTGTTAATTGTACAGAAAATATATTTGATACTCAAATACAAGAAAAAATAATTGCAATAGACGAAGAGAATTCAACTTTAAAAGAAAAATTACTACGAAGTACAACTGAAATACAAAGTTTAAAGATAGAATTAGAGTGTGCTAAAATTAAATTAAAAGATATATCTGAACAAATATATAATTTGAAAATGAATAATGTACAATTTAAAATTAAAAATGAAAATAAAATAGAATGTAAAGTTAAAGTTGAAACAATAGAAATAGGTTGTCAAGTGCATATGGAATCTGACGAATATTGCGTTGAAACATCTAAAAATGATGTGATTAATAAAAGTAGCCAGACAATTGAGAATATGGAAAAAGAAAAGATTAATCAAACAAATTTTATTGAAGAAACTAATGATCATGAGATGATTTTAAATAAATTAGCAAAGTTAATGGTGAAATATGATGATATTAAGATACAATACGAAGAAAAGTGTTTGGTTAGTAAAAAAAATATAATAATAAATATAATAATAAAAAATAAAATATATATTTTTTTTTATGTCTATATAATTATTCTTTTATTTTAAAGATACTTAGAGAAGTGGATCAAGAGATGATACTATTAAAAGAAAGAATAGATAAACTTTTAGAAGAAAATAATATAAGCAAAGCTGAGAAAGAAAAATATAAACAGACGATTGATTTACTTGAAAAAGAATTATCTTTGATACAAAAAGATAAAATACAAATTCAAGAAACATTAAAAAATACTGATGATATTAAAGTTTCTTTCGAAACAAAAATTAACAATTATCAACAACAAATAAATGAAACTGAACAACAACTTTCTCTTGCTAAAAATGATTGTAATCAATATATGAAAGTATGTTATTTTTTTTTATATTATAAGAATATTTTATGCAAATTTAAACATTTTAAAAGAGTTATATTTTTACAGAAATTGAACATATTACAAGCAGATTTTGATACTCATATTTTAAAGGTATACATAAATTGATGAAATTATCATTTTTCATATCATCAAATATAATTAAATAAAATAATATTTATCATATATATCAAATAAAATAAATAATATAATATTTATTATTACAGTGTAAAAATGAACATGAAGAAACCATAAGTAATTTAAAAAAGGAACTTTCATCTGCAGCAGAAAAAAGTAATATCAAATCACAGGTATTGAAAAAAATTTATACAAATTTCTATATTTCTATATTTTTTTTTTCAATAATTTAATAATTTTAATAAAATTCTAGTGTTTGGAAGTACATGCTGCTAAAATATTAGAGCTAGAACATAATGTTGAAAGTTTAACCGAGCTTCAGGAAAAGATTTATGAATTAAATAGAAATTTAGAAATATGTCAAATTGAGAAAGATCAATTGCAAAAATTATTAAACGAAAATCACGATAGAATATTAGAACTCGAAGATCGTTTAGAACAAGCAGAGGAAAAAGAGCGAGATAAAGATGCTGAAATAAATTCTCTTCAGAAAGGTCCGATATTTAATTGATGTAGTTGATATTTGATTTTGTCTTATATTATAATATAAGATATGATTTTAAAATTTTTATATTTTGATTGTTACAGAAATGAAGTATATGATAAACAAAAACGAAAATGATGACAGAAATGATAAATTAATGGAAATAGAAATGAAGAATACAATTAAGGATTTAACTGATACGAAAAACATGCTTTCTCAAAAATTAGAATATATTGAACAGTTAGAAATTCGTATCAAACATAACGAACAAAATGCCAAAATATTAGATCTTTTACAACAAAGTGCTCAAGAGAGACAAGCAGAGAACGAAAGATTAAGAATTATGAACGAAGAATTAAAAAATAGTTTAATCGAAAAAGAGCGTGAAATGGAAACATTTATGAGGAATAGGGATGAAATGGTGTCAAAATATGAAAGTTTAGTAAAAAATCAACAAGAAGAATTAGAAAAACAAAAACAAAAGGTATCTATATTATAGAATTTAATATAATACTTATCAATGAATTTTATTTAGTAATTATTTTTTTATAGTTAACAAAGAATCATTTGAAAGAAAGAGACTATTGTGGAAATACGTCTGAAGATGAAGTAGTACTTAAAGAACGTCGAATGAGACGACCACCAAAGAAATTTACACCATCTTCACCGAAACAAGATGAAATTTCAGTGATCGATCTTTCTGGCTCCGATTCAAAGTATAATAACAAAGTACAAAAATTGTACATATTAATAATTAATATTAAAATTTATTTTTTTTATTAGGCGAAGTACAAAACGTACCATTTTACCACCACCTCCGGAACAAGTTTCGGAAAAAAAAAAAATACTCGTAGAAAGAAACTGTATGTTACAGGAGATGAATCTTTTCAAGATATAGAACCACTTGAGGTAATTGCTTTTAATTTTTCTATAATCTATGTATGTTCATGTTATACATTTTAAATATCGTTTGTATATTTAGAGTACAGTAACTATCACTCCAACTATGACAACTCGAACTTTAAGAACTAGAAGAAAATGAAAATATTGTAAATAGATTGTGCCAGTGAATAAATTGTGGACAAATATTACATTATAACTATGTTATTAAGCAAGATATTTTCTGTGATTTTTCTACTTGAATTTACTTTATTCACTATAACATATTATAAGAATAATGAAACAATATTTATGCATCCTTTAATTGTACATCTTATTAAAATAATGTATTTTTTAAATATTGTTTTTTATTACTCGCATTTGAACATAAAAATATTAATTTAAATATATAATTCCATAAACAATAATATTAATATTATATACTATACATGTATACTATATTTTTTTAGTATACATGTCAAATATTTACATCTTTTGGTTTCAAAAGTTTATTTTTATTATTTTTTAAAAAATTTTTTTTTAATATATTAGAAAGGAACTCTGATTGATAGGTAAAAATTTATGAATTTACTTATATATTTTTTCAGTTTATTTTTCACGAGGTACACGACCTTTATTGTTACATTCCGCACTTATATTAATTATTCTCTTTTAATAGTTTTGTAATTAATGCTTATCCTTCTTATACTCTCATTAATATTCATAATATATTATCATACTTTCAATGGAGTCAACAACATATACATATATATATATATATATATATACACATATATATATAATTATGTATATATATATATATATTATTTTTTCTTATTTATTTATTTTCATATGTATATTATGTATATTATTTTATATACGTATCGGGTGTATGTTCATTCTTATGAGTGAATGCACTGTACCATAGGATAGCTTTTATTACACAATTCACAGAGTCGTTTTTGTAATAGGGGGACTGCCGAAGTACACCATGATGATTCATTCTCTCTTCATACTGTTTTTTTCCTTTTTTTCTTCTTTTGTTGTTTTGGCCATTGAAGGGAAAGACGTTCATTTATCGACATGTTCATATTACTATATATTACTTTCCTGACCCACCGTTTTAATTGTCCAAAAAATGAAGGACTTTTCGCGAAAATGTATTTCCTCACGTCTCAGTCGGGGCAAAGAGCATATATAAATCGTGATTTATATGGCGCTCGTAACACGTTACATATACAAGAAATATAACACGAGAATCACTCTATGAACGGAATCATAGAATATAATAATATACACAAAGATTATCAATGAAAGACAAGTTCAAAGATTTACGTATTTTTTCTGCGTTTATATCGGTATTGTTTTGAAGAAAATCATGATTGCCAGATTTCAATCTTTATAGTATTAATCATATTCATATACATATATATATATATATAAAACATATATGCATTTCTGTCTTTCATTAATATTACGACGAACTTAGGCCCGATTAATTGCGATATCTTAACGTTAATATACATTTCGTATAATATAGGTATTATATATTGACCTAACGACTAGTGCGAATGAAAAATTTCACAGCGAACTGGATGAAACACGCGCACACGGTGAACCAGCGTTGAGCTCAGAATCAAGTCTTTCTTAAAGGGTTCCTTTCTTCTTTACAAATTTCTAAGCTAGTTTACATTTTCATTATTCCTTTCTTTTATTCTTATGTACATCGAATTAGTCGATCGATGTATGGACAAAGGATAATCTAAAAAAAAATGTCCGAGAAGAATCGACGAAAGATCTGGACTCAACATAGTGGCGCACGCAAACGATCAGAAGTACGAGTTTATTCGAATGCGACACTTACTTTCTTTTCCCCTTTCTTTTTGTTCTATAATCAACAAATGTTCGTACAATCATTTATACGAATCGTTTCTTTTCTCTTTTCTAGTTTTTTGACTTTCGTTTGTATCGGTATTTCGCGTTCATTATACACATCTCGAATATATAACAATCGAATTTCTTAATATTTCTTTATCGATCACAGATGTCCATACGATGAAGGAAACAAGCATTAACGAAGATAAAACATCGTGCCGCGAAACGCTAAACTTTATCCATCACGATTCTTTTCTGGTCTACACACGAGAATTGTTGTTTCGCCTCGATTTTTCAACGAGGTCGAGGAAATAATTGGACGGCATGCTGCAGAAAATCATGTCGAGAGATTTTGTTTGTTTCCTATCGATTTTTCTTAATTAATTCTATTGATAATTTGAGCCCTTCCATCATGTGGACATACTGCGTATCAATATTAAAAAATTACGCATAACGATATTAGCGTAAATATTGCAACACGTAACAAATATTTAAACAAATTTTAACGCAAAAAATGTATCTTTAGCGACGCAACATTAACAAATGCGCCTAATAATAATAGTAATAATAATAATAATAATAATCATAATTAATAATAATCTGTGTAGATTTTTATCAATTTTTTCTTTTCTATTCATGATTTTTCATCGAATCAAATTTATTTTTGACGAACAATATCTACGATCAACGAATAACGATAAGGAAAAACGTGATCATTTTATAAATTGTTTTTTCCTTTTCTCTTAGGGGGGGAAAAAATATAGCCAATAATCGACAATAATCGTTCGAGACGGTGTCCTTCGGCACACGGCAGTGTAATGTGTCACTTCGGATAGTCCTCGATCCTTCGAACTCGATGAAGAAGCATTCGATTTTCTTTTTCCCATTCATTTATTATCTATTCATTTTTTTTATATGTGTGTATATATATATATATTTATTTATTTATTTATTTATTCCGTAGCACAGTGCATTTTGTGTTTAATATTACATAACACGCTCAATGTTAGAAGTAGCACATTTTTATTTAATTATTTATTTCTTTTTTTTTTTTTTTTTTTCATTAAATACAACGATCGATATTACAAGGGGAAAACTTCAAAATTTCTTTCTCTTTTATTCTCTTTAAATATTACATATTCGCCCTTATAAACGAGTCTAGCAATTGACATAAGTGTGGCGTTAAAAGCATGTATCATCTCATGTGCACACCCGTCCACCGTTCACAGGATCATCGATGAATGAAAAATATCGATAAAAGTTGATTAAGAAAGAGGCGAGATCGATCGATAAAATAATATTCTTATAATCATAAACGCAAACCTTCTTCCCATGTTCCTCTTTTTTTCCCCTTTATTCTCCCTATAAATCTTGTCCCATCTTCATCGTGTTCGAGGATCGCAAACGTACGCGTTGTTGAGGAAAGTACCCCATAGAAGAGGAAACGAGGAACAGCTCCTTTCGTCTTCTTCTTCAAACACCCCTTTCCTTTCTTCTATCTCTCTACTCCTTAATTACAATCGTTTTAACAATACAAAAAAAAAAAAAAAAGAAGAAGAAGAAGTATCGAAACGTAATCTCATTCTCTCTCGCGTTTTCTCCTTTCTGTCTTATCTTCTTTTTTCTTCTTTTTTTTTTTCTCT